GGCGTGTGAGATGTTCCCCCTCCCCAAACCCCTCCCCCGGGAGCCCGGTCCGGTCCATTTGGAGGGGGGGGGGGGGTCCGGCCGGACGGGCCGGACCCCCCCGGAGATCTCATCCGCTCCCGAAAAACGTGGAAAAACACGCGAAATTCGTGCAGGGACGCGTCTGGTGGCTTCGAAATGGATTTGGGACGCCCCACGAGCGCTCCAAGACGTCCAAGTTTGCCCGAAGACGGGCCACGAGGCGTCCTCGACGGCAGAAAAGGTCCCCACGAGCTCCCCCGAGGGCCTCCGAGATGCGTTCCACAAGGGTCCCTAGACGCCAAAATTGGGCCATTCCCTTCGTGAAATGTACATTTTAAAAAATTCAGCTTTGGATCTTTCCGATGCTCCCCGACGGCCCAATAGGCTCCCAAACCCGCTCCCAGACGGCCCCAGAAGCCTCGCAGAGGGTCCCCCACAGACCCCTAGAGGGCCCAAGATGGGCCAACAGGCGTCCAAGACGGCCCAAGAGGGCTCCGAAAACGGCCCCAAGAGCGTTCCAGGAGCGTTCCGAGTTGCTTCCCCGAAGCTCCACATGGTCCCAGACAGTCCAAGAGCGATCAGAAACATCGACGACGACCTCCCGACGGCTCACGAGGCCTCCCCAGACGCCCCCACAGGCATCCAAGATTCCCCCCAAGAGGCCCTCTAGACGCAACAAATCGTTTGTTTCCTTCGTAAAACGTATATTTGTTCACACGTGCGCTTTTGGGGGTGACGAAAAACGTGGAAAAACACGTGAAATTCGTGTAGGGACGCGTCTGGTGGCTTCGAAATGGGTTTGGGACGCCCACGAGCGCTCCAAGACGTCCAAGTTTGCCCGAAGACGGGCCACGAGGCGTCCTCGACGGCAGAAGAGGTCCCCACGAGCTCCCCCGAGGGCCTCCGAGATGCGTTCCACAAGGGTCCCTAGACGCCAAAATTGGGCCATTCCCTCCGTGAAATGCACATTTTAAAAAATTCAGCTTTGGATCTTTCCGATGCTCCCCGACGGCCCAAGAGGCTCCCAAACCCGCTCCCGGACGGCCCCAGAAGCCTCGCAGAGGGTCCCCCACAGAGCCCTAGAGGGCCCAAGATGGGCCAACAGGCGTCCAAGACGGCCCAAGAGGGCTCCGAAAACGGCCCCAAGAGCGTTCCAGGAGCGCTCCGAGCTGCCTCCCCGAAGCTCCACATGGTCCCAGACGGTCCAAGAGCGATCAGAAACATCGACGACGACCTCCCGACGGCTCACGAGGCCTCCCCGGACGCCCCCACAGGCATCCAAGATTCCCCCCAAGAGGCCCTCTAGACGCAACAAATCGTTTGTTTCCTTCGTAAAACGTATATTGTTTCACACGTGCGCCTTTGAGGGTGACCCCCGCTCCTGCACGGCCCCAGAGCCCCCCAAACCCGCTCCCAGACGGTCCAAGACGCCTCCAAGAGGGTCCGTACATCGCCCTCGAGGGCCCCAAGACGCGCCAACACACGTCCAAGACGGCCCAGAAGGGCTCCGAAAACGGCTCCGAGAGCGCTCCAGGAGCGGTCCGAGTGGCCTAAAAGAGAGCTCCACATGGCCCTCGACCGTCCAAGGGCGATCAAAAAACGCTGACGACGGCCTCCAAACGGCTGAAGAGGCCCCCAAGACGCCCCAAGAGGCATCCACGATGCGCCCACAGAGGGCCTCTAGACGCAGCAAAAAATCCTTCGTTTCCTTCGTCAACTAACAAAAAAAAGAACAAAATAACATAACCAAAGAAACACAAGAAAAAAAACAAAGAAAAAAAAAACAAGAAAATAAAAGCCAAAGCGAAGAAAAGAGAAAAAAACGTATATTGTTTCACACGTGCGCCTTTTGGAGTGCCCCCCGCTCCTGGACGGCCCCAGAGCCACCCAAACCCGCTCCCAGACGGCCCAAGACGCCCCCAAGAGGGTTCCCACAGAGCCCTCGAGGGCCCCAAGACGCGCAAACACACGTCCAAGACGGCCCAAAAGGGCTCCGAAATCGGCTCCGAGAGCGCTCCAGGAGCGGTCCGAGCGGCCTCGACGAGAGCTCCACATGGTCCTCGACGGTCCAAGAGCGATCCAAAACGCTGACGACGGCCCCCCGACGGCTGCAGAGGCCCCCCAAGACGCCCCACGAGGCTTTCACTATGCGCCCCTGGAGGGCCTCTCGCTGTATAAAATCGCCCGTTCTCTTCGTAACACGTGTATTTTTCGTACGCGCGCCTTCTGGGGCGCTCCGGGCGGCCCGAGAGCCTCCCAAGACCGCGCCAAGACGGTCCAAGAAGCCTCCACGAGGGCCCCGCGACAGGAGAAGGAGGGGGGGGGGAGGAGGAGCAGGAGGAGGAGAAGGAGGAGGAGGAGGAAGAGGACAAGGAGGGGGAGGAAGAGGAGGAGAAGGCCGGGAAGGGAAGGGGGATAAGGAGGAGGAGAAGGCGGGGGAGGAGGAGGAGGAGGAGGAGGAGGAGGAGGAGGGGGAGGAGGAGGAGGAGAGGGACGAAGGGCGGGAGGAGGAATAACAGGAGAAGGACAAGAAGGAGGAGGAGAAGAAGGCGGGGAAGGGAAGGGAAGAAGGACGTGGACGAGGAGGAGGAGGAGGAAGGGCAGGAGAAGGAAGAGGAGGAGAGGCAGGAAGAGGAGCAGGAGGGAGGAGCAGGGAGAGGAGGAGGAGAGGAGGAGAGGGAGCCGATCATCGTCATCAGTGTCGTGATCATCAACGACGTCATTGCCATCGACAAGGTCAGCCCAAACATCCCCGAACATTAACAATTAGCGGGACATCCCGCTTGGAAACCGCCGACAACCGTAAGATGTCTCCGGGGTGTAACATACTTCCCTGGCTCCGGCACCCGTGCAAGGCCCCAAACACAACCCAAAAAACCTCCCTGTGCCGTTTTGGAGTTCGCTTGGGCCGTCTGGAAGCCCTCTGGGCCAGTTTGCGACCCATGTCGGCTCCCCTTCTCGCTGTGACGGGCCCTGAACAACCTCATTTTCCCACGGTTTGCAAGGACGCTGTGGTGAACGATCCCGGGGAAAATCCAAGGGGTCGGCGGATGTGGCGGTAGAGAGGGCTGGGGGGGGAATAAGCGGGGGGTCGAGTAAAAAGAAGAACCCCAGCAAGCCCTCTGTGAATATCCCGGTCGCTCTTTCCTGCGCTCCTAACACACTCATCCTCCCTCCTCCTTCCACACCTCCTCCTCCCTCCACTCCCTCTCCTCCTCCTCCTCCCCCTTCTCCATGTATTCCTCCTCCCCTCCCCCTCTCCCGCCCTCCCCTCCCCTCCCCCTCCCCCCCTCCTCCTCCTCCTCCTACTCCCTTCCCCTTCTTCCCTTCCTCCTCCTCTCTCCTCCCCATCCTCCTCACTCCTCTCCTTCCTCCTTCTCCCTCTCCCCCAGCCCCTCCCCATCCACCCCCGCCCCCTCCCCTCCCCAGCCGCCGTCCCGGTTCGAGGCTTTGGGTGCAGCGCCCAGGTACCCAGTACCTCCGCCCTGCGAGCCTCCTCGGGGCTGCTGCCATACGTGCCCGCCCGCCACGCCCAGCGTGCAGCAGGGCAGCCGTGATTCAGTCGTTTGCCACGGAGACGGGCAGACGAAAGCGGGTGGACCCCGCTTGGCACAGACGACAGCGCCAGGCTCGCAGCAGAGCCCGGGTGATCGTGCAAGTTGCCGCAGCAGCAGAGTTATTGAGACAGCACCATTCCAGTCCAATGGGTGCTAGACAGGGATCACGACAGTTCCAGAACAAAGGGGGAGGCACGAAGTCAGTGCCATGGCAGCGCACACAGCAAAGTTTCAAGAAGTTGTGGGAATGTCCAGCGTGCGCGTGTGCCAACCCCTGGGATTCATACACATGCAAGAAGTGCTTTCCCTCCATGTCTCAGCAGTCTAGTGAGCGACCATGGCGCACGAGATCAGCGTCACGTGCCCCGAGAAGAAGAGCAGCCTCAGCTCAGCCGACGCATGGAGATGCAGCAAAATCTACGACAGGTGACCAGCAAGAGCCCCATGATGATCTTATACCTTTGCTGCCAGCCTCGCCTGAGATTGCCAACAGTCACAAAAGATGGAGAGATCCGCCAGAGGATCCTAAATTGCTGGGAGAATATCGCAAAGCTCTGACATCCACCATGGAATCGTTGGAGAGACAAATACGTTGCGCAGATGCTCTCACACTAGATGCCCAGCAAATTTCGGCTCTGCAAGAAGAATATGCAGTCGTGTTGTATCAGCTCATGCACAGCCGTTCGCCACAGGCAAGAGTGACTAAGCAACGGTTATTCGTCAACAGATGCCGCAGACGCCTGACAGATGCCACTGCGAAGTTGAATATTTTATATGAACAGATTGACGCAGCAGAAGTCCAATGACAGCATTTGCAAGAGGAAGTTACACAAGCAGAGCAGCTACTTGAGCACTTTGAGGAGCTCGAGGATTCGCTACCAGTCATGTCAGCAAGAGCAGCAAATGATCAAGACGACGATGATGACATTCGCATGGCCGAGGAAGAGGGCCCCGCAGGACACTTTCGACCAGGGCACAGAGCTCCGACACCTCAGTCGCCAGGAAAGGCATCAGCGGCCTCAACTGCAGCGACCACTCCCTCGCGCACAGGCCAGCCCGCATGGCCCATGACGCCAGGGAAAGGAGCCAGCCAAGCAGATGTAGCAGCCACCCCTCCGAGGGCCGCTGCGCAGCCTCATCAGCAGGTATCACCACCTGGAGAGGCTCAGTCTGCGGCAGCGAATGACATCGCCATGCCCACACTGCTCGCAGCGCTGCAACAGAGCAATGCACAGCTGCTCGCCAACATGAGGAACTTCCAGACTGCAGTCACCACGTTGCAGACGGAGATCAGTACGCTCAGAACGGAGAAGGAGGAGGACATGAACAAGATGCGCCAGGCCGCAGTGGATGCAGCCCAGCAGGTCATGGCGGCGCAGTCGAACGGCCCCAAGAAGTTCCAGCAGCCCGCCGATCCAGTGGCCCAGCAGGCAGGTCGTGCCCGCATGGCAGCGCTGCTGAGGGGCCGCGCCACAGCGAGATCAGCCCCCCCGCGTCGACATGAAGACAGCGGGCAAGCAGGTGCAAAGACCATGCGCACAGGCACGGCGGGAGAAGGATCGATGGGAGCGGGTGCAGCCGACATCGCCCAGAGAGAGGCTGCTCAGGCGGAGGACATCGCCAGGCAGCCCACAGGGGCCGAGGCTGAGCCTGCAGGCAAGGATGACAGCGACAGCGAGCTTTTGGCCGCTGTTGCTGCCACATCAGTCGCCGCGCCAGTTTTTCGTTAGGGGCCGTGTCAGAAGCGTCTCGGCCCGCTTTGAATTCAAATACTCCCATCCAAGATCCTGATTTTCCAGCTAGCCCATCCCCCAGTGAAGAGGACAAGCCAAGGGAAAATCGCTCGGAGCACCTCGGATACCAGATTCACAGCCATCCAGTGGAATCAACGACAGGTGCCCCTTACTCTCCCATACCGCCGCTCCACTCTACCAAGAAGTTGCTAGAGAAGAAATGGCCCATTCAGCTTTCCAATGACTTGCTGTCGTGGGCACAGTTTTGGCATTCATCTACAGTGTCAGCCTTCACCAGTCTTGTACCTTTTGACCCGAAGGCCCAGATTGACCATCTCAAGATATACACAGATGCGACGGCAGGGACCTTCAAACATCAGGGACAGATGTGCTCACCAGCATGGGCTTTCTGTGTTCTCGCTGCCACCACTCTCGGAGTCTCCTTCCTAGGATATCTTGCTGGTCCTCTGCAGGGATGGGATGCTTCTGATGCGAGAGCCCCGTTAAGAGCTGAGCTAGAAGCGGCCATTTGGGCCACAGCTTGGCTTTTGCAAGCACCATTGTGTTGCAGGCAAGCTCCGATATGTTTTTACACTGACAACATGGACGGGCTGCGCATTTACCAAGGAGGATATGTGCATGGCGTGCTGCTATCTGCTAAGACGTTGTTTGACAGTTTTACGCAGATCATACGCGCGTGTGTGATTGCGGTGGCGTACGAGCATGTACATGGGCACACTGCGCATCCGTGGAACGAGTGCGTCGACACGCTTGCACGCCTGTACGCTATGCGTGTATTACCTGATTTCATTGAGCCAGCGTGGAGATCCCTTATACATCAGGACCCCCACCAAGAGGCCCTACCCTGGATTTGGTTACTTTTCTCCGACTCCAGCATACGACAGGCTTACCCACCCAACCACGGCACGCCTCTCCCTACGCCTCAGGCCCCCACTACGGGCATTCGGGAAATCTTACCGATCCCCAAGAGACCCCCACGAGGCCGACATGTCTTTGCCATGGGCTGGATGGCCATGGCCAATGTGCTCTCGCTGGACCCCCGAGCCTACAAGGGTTCCCGACAGGCACACGACAAGTTTCAAGGTTTCAACGCCACAGGCCGCATGATGCAGCTGGCGGGGCAGTTTGCGCAGCGGCCCTACTTCATAGTAGGCACAGTTGAGACTCGTCTCAGACGGACAGGCACCTCCGAGCTTGGCCCGTACTTCCTGTTGCACGCCCAGGCTAACGACTCCGGAGGGGAGGGATGTACTGTATGGATCAACACACACTGGGAGTATCAGGAGGGATGCACGGTACAGCCTTCTCACTGTCAGGTGCTACATGCAGCGCCAGATATCATGATCGCGGCCGTAAGGGCCCCTTCGCTCTCACTGTGCGCATGTGTTGCTCATGCTCCGCATCCGCGCCGACCCCCAGCATATATGCGACAGTGGTGGAAACAAGTACAGCTGCTTATTACACAGCACAGGGGTACTGCAGAGCATGTGGTTACACTGATAGACGCCAATGCAGCAGTGGGATCATACACAGACGCACACGTAGGGCCCATACATGCGGAGCCTGAAAACCTACCGGGGCACAGTTTCCGCATGTTCCTCCAGGGCACAGCCCAATGGGCTCCATCCACTTTCTACGAAGACCCATCGGGATCCGCGGGCACCTGGACGGCCCCAGGAGCACGCACCACACCTAAGAGGCGTGACTACATAGCAGTGTCCTCTGATATACGTGTGCCTGCGCAAAGAGTCGATCACGGCATCGACCTCACAGTCGCGCAGCCAGACCACAACGTGGTGGCAGCATGCTTACTTTTCCCACCATCCAGCTTCGTGCCAACGGCACCGAGGCCCTACAAGGTGCAGCACGATCCTGACATGTACAAGGATCCAGTGTCCGCCAGGTTACTCCAACACTCGCTTTCGCAGTTCCGACAGCCCGACTTTGCAGTACACAGTACAGATCATGTCAAAGCCTGTGAAGAATACGTGAGATACGCCATCGCGACAGCCTGTCCAGTACGTACGACAGCGACGGGGCGGCAACCTCGGCAATCCTGGATCAGCGTCAGCACACTTGCTATGCAGGATGAGCGAAGTATATACTTACGCCTAGCTCGCAAGATCGGGCTGCAGGCTCACAGAGCCATGGTGCGTATCATCTTGTTCGCCTGGCAGCTGCATTTTGCGACGACAGAGGCAGAACATGAGAGGCCACGTGGCCCTAGCAGCAAAAGAGCACGCATGCCCTGCCTGCCTACCTTGGTAAGACGCACGCGGAAGCTACAGCAGCCTTGTCTCCTCCTTCCGCAAGCAACGGCATCTCTCTTGTGCCGAGAAGCGGACATACGCAGGCAGCAAGGCAACGGTAAAGGCATAGGCAAACCACGCTTACTTGCTCAATGGGGTCATCAAGGGGTCACGGCCAACATACTACCTCCCCCTTTCAGACCAAAGGAGTATCGAACGGGACATGGGATGGAGACGGGGATATGGGACTATATTACCTGCTGCTGGGACTATGCGCATGAGGTGCGCGCTTGTGTCCTAGCACATCGTGAGCTGCTACTTGTTCATACTGCACTATTGATCCGACATGCGACTACGCAAGATGCCTTGCATCATTACAACAACCTTGTGCAGGGAGTTTCGGACGCATGGGATCGCAGGCAGTAAGATCAGGTGTTTGCCAAACTACGTGCTATGGGAATAGGCTCGCCCAAGAAGGTAAACACCAGAGCCCTACCCATCCTGGAGCTAGAGGATGGCAGCATGGCTGCCACACATGAGGAAGCAGCATATAGATGGTTGCGCCACTTTGCGGCAGAAGAAGTGGGAGTGGTAGTGCCAGTTGCCGACGCCAACACATTTGCGCGAAGTATCCCATCCCTTCCTCAGGATCTCACACATGATATCTCATATGAGGAAGTGTTTCTCCCTACCCTCTCCAACTACCAAAGAGCCTGCCGCACTGCCAAGCCCTCAGCTGCCAGCTTAGACGGCATCCCAGGGGCCCTTCCCAGAAGTTGTGCCACGGCCCTGGGAGCCCTGTTCCATCCTGTGGCCGTCAAAGCTTGTACCCGCATCGAGGAACCCTTGCAATGGAAGGGGGGCAACTACTGGAACATCTGGAAGAAGAAAGCTACCCCAGCCACATGCAAGAATCATCGGTCTGCGATGATATCCCCCCCAGCCTGGGAAAAAATACCGACAGCTACTGCGAGCGCCGCTAGCAGAGGCCCTCCCTGCAAATGCAAGGGACTCGCGGTATGGAGGAATTGCGGGGAGAGGGGTTGACCTTGCAGCGCTTGCTACACGCTCGTTCCAGGAACTCGCACAGACGCTCAAGATATCAGCGCTCTTTTTCATGCTTGACGCAGTCTCAGCTTTTTATCGGGCAGTGCGCGAGCTAGTTATGCAGTTGGGCACCTCAGATGCGGACCTATACAGCATACTACACAGCGGGGCTCCCACCTGGTGCCATTGAGGACCCCAAGGCTCATATTGCTGAGCAACACACACTACTGGAACAAGCAGGGATATCACGACACATACGCGCGCTCACAGCCTCTAGCTACTCAGGCAATTGGTTCTGGCACCCAGGAGCGTCAGCAGTTGCTTTCTCGCTTGAAGGAGCGGTGCCAGGACAGCAGCTAGGCGACGTAATTTTCAACTACGTGATGGCAGCATGCGTGAAGGAAGCTCAGCAGGGACTGCAGGAGCTGGAGCTAGACCTACGTATACCTATTTCATTACATGCTTCAATGTCTGACATGATGCAGCAAGCACCCGACACTATGCGAGGAGGATTAGAGGTGTGCTGGTTTGATGATGGTGCGATTGTTGTCCTAGGAGCAGCTCTGCACTTGCTTGAGACCGCGCCCAAGGTAGCGGCAGTGGTCGCTGCCAGCTTTGTGAGAAGAGGCCTCAGGCTCAATTTCGCCGCAGGCAAGACGGAGGTGTTGTTTCAACTTAGAGGAGTTGGCGCCAAGCGTGCCAAACGGGAGTTATGGCTCGAACGTGAAGGCCGCTTCGAGATCCAAGCAGAGCTTTTAGGACGCTTCACTCTGCTTGCAGTGAGGACATACCCACACTTGGGCACGCAGCTGGACGAATTGGGATCCATCGGGTCCGAGCTGGCCCATCGGGAAGCGTCTGTGAGGTCGTCTAGTACACTACTGCGTAGACGGGTCTGTGGCTCCCCTATTGGGCCCCACCACAGGCCACTCTGCACTTTGTGGACACGCTTATTGTCGCGGGCCTCCTCTACAACGCGGGTACATGGCCCGAGCTCACGGAAGCTCAGCACGCGCACATCCAGCACCTGATCATCAACAAATATCGTCAGGTTCTGGGGGCCCCTCAGAAGGACTCCGAAGCAGACCCCGACAGGCTCATACTGGCACGGGCACGACGGGCGGATTTACGTGCGGTGCTTAGAGTACACAGGTTACGCTTGCTGGGTCGCCTCTTAGATCATGACACACCTACGCTACGCAGCCTACTTACGCATGCTTATCGCAAGGCGCACATACACAAACATACATGGCTACACAGAGTACTACAGGACTTACAGTGGGTGCGAACCACCAACTGCCGACTTCGTGATATGCCAGATCCAGCTGAGGACTTCCAGGCATGGGAAGTTCGAATATTGCACTCCCAGCTTGGAAGAAAGTTTTGCACGCCACCCTCGCTGCGCACGCAGATGCAGCGGCAAGAGCAGCCTTGGCCGACAAGGCGCAGCAGGATTTCTTTCAACTTGTGCACCCAGCAGGAGTACCAATACCGATCACGAACGTGACTCACCCTCTCCATCCCCCCCCACAGGTGCAAGCCGATCTCCGATGCATGTGGTGTGACTATGTGGGTAAGACTGCAAAGAGCACGCGACAGCACATCGTGCGCGTACACTACAGCCAGGTACATGTGGTATCCAGGTTCATGGGGGAGGGGACAGTATGCATGGCGTGCTCTATGGCCTTCTCCTCTCGGCGTCTTCTCAGGGATCACCTTGCCTTTGACAATGCTGTGTGCCAGCTGGCCTACACTTTGCACGGAACCACGGTCCCTCCAGAGAGGGCGGAGGAGCTGCGACAAGCAGATCTCGACTTGCATGCGAAGCAGCGACGTGCAGGACTAGGCAGATGGAGAGCAGCATTCCCAGCACATGTACAATATCCAATGGAAGGGCTCTACCCAGCAGCCATGTTTGCAGCAGCCTTTTTCTCTGAGAGTGAGGCCAAGGAACTTCTTCGTACACATGCATACGAAATAGGGCCTACTGCATTATCAGCATACACAGCTCTCTTCACTGATCCCCCCCAGCCAGCAGTGCAGGAAGGACTTACGTACAGTGACAGATACTACAGATATCGACCGCAGGATTTCAGTGGACCAGCCGCCGAGTGGATACCCGTACGGGTGCACAGAAAGGAGATTTTTGTGCTCAACCTTTTTTCAGGCAGGCGACGCGAAGGCGACGTTCAGGCCTGGATTGAGCAGGAGCATGTTGCGACAGCCTACCATATTATCATGCTTTCAGTGGACATAGCCATTGACACAGACATGGGGGACCTCATGCGCACAGATACTATCGCACAGTGGGGTGAACACATCTTGGCTAGACGGGTGTGGAACACAGGGGGGGGGCCCTGTGAAACCTGGAGCGCGGCAAGATGGCTGGACGGGGGTCCCCCCCCCACTACGTACACATGAGTGGTACTGGGGCGTCCCATGGATTTCTGAACGACAGGCCCTCCAACTACATGCGGCCAATACGCTACTGCAGAACCTGGTGTTCCTCTTGGGCTGCCACATGGTGGCGGGGACCTCTGGGTGGATCGAACATCCCCTCCCGGCCCACTGGAGGCCAGAAGCCCCCAGCAGCTTCCACTGGGAGCCCCTAGAGGCCCTACCCAAGCAAAAAAAAAAAAAAAAAAAAAAAATAAAACAAAAAAAAAAATAAAATCACTCACCTCAACAAAAAACAAAAATAAAAAAAAAAAAAGAAAAAAAAAAAATCAAAAAAAAAAAAAAAAAAAATCAAACAAAAAAAGAATTCAAAAAAAAAAAAAAAAAAATCAATGAAACAATCATCAAAACAATCAAAAAATAAAAGAAATAAAAATCAAAAAAAAACAAAATCAAAAAAAAAAAATCAAAAAAAATCAAAAATACAAAAAAAAAAATCAACATCAAAATAAAAAAAAAAAAAAAAAACAAAAAACAAGCCCCCCATCACGATCACGGCCGACTTTGACCAATGCACGTTGCAGCCGACAGATCGAGACCCTGCGGAGTTTGGAAGAGCTCCCACGCGTCTCCTCGGACTGAGGATGCCATGTTTGCGAAGACGCCTGTGCGAAGGACCAGGCAATGGCTGGTGTCACCACGGGAAAGGAGTGCACAAAATACTGCAGGGGAAGGAACTTGTTGGAGGGCGTAAGGTCTTTAAGACGCATGCCAAGAAAACATATCCAGAGCAGATGTGTGCACGTTTAGCAGCAGCCATTGCAGCCTCTATTCAGAGTATATATGCAGATGCTGACAACGACGAGCAGCAATTCGACGAGAGCGCGTTGTGCGCCGACCTATGCAAGTTTTACTGCCAGAGATAGGTGTGGATTTCGAGCCCGCACCAGACTTCGCGGCAGGAACGACTAAGATGAAGAGAGCCGATCCAGAGATGCACAGGTTCCAGGAAGATCCCAGAGAGACTCCTACGGGCCCCATATGTGCTCCGACTCCGGCTACCACCGCTGCTCCGACTCCTGCTCCTGACAGCCCCAGCATGAATATTCCCATGCATGAACCAGGATCGGATGAGGAGTTAGATGCAGAGAGTTCGTTGGAGCCTTTCCCCTCTCTCCCCTCCTCTCCCCCGCCGCCGCTGCCGCCGTCGCCGCCGCCCCCCCCGCCCCGCCTCACCCCAGAGCAGCTGGCACGCATAGCGGCCAATCGCTCCGAGGCGCTGCGCAGGCGCCAGGCCAGGAGGGCCGCGGCCCACAGGAGACGGGCCCCCTGGTCAGGGAATATTTCCTTCGCCTCCTTTTTCGAGGCGGGACCCACCGCTGCCGCCCCCGCCGCCTCTCTCAGCCTTCCTCTTACAGAACAGGGAGCCTAGGCGGGGAGCGTAGCACCACGACGAGAGCTCGCGAACCCTTCGCCATGCCTGCGTTCCACCACGCCCCCTCCCCCTCCATCCCCCTCCCCCCTCCCCCCTCCTCCTCCTCCTCCTCCCCCTCCCCCTCCTCCTCCTCCTCCTCCTCCTCCTCCTCCTCCTCCTCCTCCTCCTCCTCCTCCTCCTCCTCCTCCATTCCTTTTCCTTATGAATAACTTCTCCCTGCCGCACCCGAGGCCAGTGTTTGGGGCGGGCTGGGCGTTTCGCCTGAGATTTCCGCACCACGTATGACTCTGACGCTTAAAAATTGGGAACAGCTTCGCAGATGGAGGGCGGGTCGTTTTCAAAATGTGGCTCTCGCCTTAGCTCGGCGCACATTCGTTGTGCAAATGTGCAAAGAGGTTCACGGATTGAGGGCGGGTGGTTTTCAAAGTGTGGCTATCACCTTGGCGCGGCGCACACTCATGGTACAGATCTGCCAGAACTTCACGGATTGAGGGCGGTTCCTTTTCAAAATGCGGCTCTCGCCTTAGCGCGGCGCACATCCCTTATAACAATTGCCAGAAGTTCACGCGTTCCCATCATCAACGTGTCGGAAACAATGTTTTGAAAGGATTCAGGATTATGCGGGTGCAACACTCATGTTGGTTCGCTGCGTTGAAGTCCCAGGAATGGTGTTCTGGCACGAATCAGGGTTTTCAAGCGGCAACTGTCAAGTTGATCCGTGGCGTTGTAATCCCGAGAACAATGTTTTGGCATGCTTCAGGGTCTTCTAACAGCTGTATTCCAAAGAGGCAGTTCCTGCAATGGAAATGAACCGTTGTAGGGACCTATGAAGAGGGAGCTTGGAGGGAGGGTTTATTCCAACATCGTTGATGACTCTTGGGATTACACTTATCCTCCTCCTCCTCCCCCTCCTCCTCCTCCTCCTCCTCCTCCTCCTCCTCCCCCTCCTCCTCCTCCTCCTGCAGTTCATCCCTGCGCGGCGCCTCCTTTGAGACCAGGGCCACCGCAACCGCCGAAGGACGGGGGGGGCTGCATGACCGGAGCGGGGCCCTTGCCGAAGGCCTTGCCGAAATCCTTGCCGACATCCTTGCCGAAGCCTTTGCCCCTGCGGAGCCGATCGGGGGCAGGGGCAGGAATTGCGGGTGGAGCAGCAGTGGCAGCTGCACGGCAAGCCGCTCACCCACCCCCCACGCGGCGCTCCGCTGCACGGTGCTGAAGATGCGATTGCTAAGGTTCCACCTTCTCAGCGAAGCCGACTGAGACAGGTAGAGAAAGAGAGAGAGAGAGGAACAAAAAAGAAGTAAAGAAAGAAAGACGAAATCACGAGAGAGGCACCCCCTATCATAGAAGTCCAACCAGACCTCTAGGCTCAGGTGCGAAGCCTTTTTCGCACCCATCGGGGAGGGCTTTCCCCCTTGAAATCCTTCCCTGGGTCTGGAGGGGCAGGTGTCAGAGGGTGCCTCTGAACCCCAGAGGACTCCAAAATGGTCCCATCAAGCCCAAGATTACTTCCAAAATGGCACACAAGAGCCCAAGGCGGCTCAATACGGCCTCCAACATGTCTGGAAGAAGCCCCGAAACGGCTCAAAGTGACCACAGAGCCTCTCAAGGAAACGCCGAATCCAAACTCCTTCAAACTCTGCGCGTTGTTTGATCTATGTCTGTCGTGCACCTGATCTCCGCAGGCCTCAAGATGGCTCCAAGATCTTCCAAGCTCAAGAGAGCCCTAAAAAGGGCGGACCCAGATGGGCAACTCGACGGCCCCAAAGCCGCTCGAACGCGGAACAGAAAGTCCCAGTAGAGCTCCAAGAAACGATCTTGCGGGCTCTGTCGGTGCAGCCTTATTTAGTGCTCCCCCTGTCCCACAGACAGAATCTTCGGAACATGTCCACGCAGTGCTTGAAGAGTTTGGGCACTTAGAAGCATCCCTGGGAGGTGCTTTGGGCCAAGATGGCTGCTAGATGGCCCCAGATGCCAGAAGATGGCCAATGATGACGCAAGATTATGCGAATTGGCTCAAACAGTCTCCGGCACGCCTCCGAGAGGCCTGGAGACGGCCCAAAGACGGTTCCAAATAACGTCGAAGCTCCCAAGGACGCCCCCGAGATGCCAGAATCGCTAAACCACCGAAAGCTGGTGAGGGATGTGTTTATCACGTGCGCTGGGGCACCTAGCACACTCTACGCATGCCCCAACCGTGGCGCACCTGGCGCGGCTGGACCATGCGTCACACTTGGCGCACGAGGAGCACGTGGCGCATCTGGCGCCCCAGGCATGCCTGGCACGCTTGGCCCCAGGGGTGCGTGGCGCATCTGGCGCGCCTGGCACGCGTGGCGCACCTCGCCAAAGCGTCGCGCACGACCGCTGTCAAAAACAATACGAAATACATGTTGTAGCAAAATCTTGGATAAGGCTCGTGGGCCCACAAGCATTTTGCACTGTTTCTTGACAGGGGCGGCATGGGGGGCTCATATTGCCTGTTGCGCGCAAAGCCTATGTCCATCCAGAAACAAATACATATAAGTACACTTCGCTGCTAAATCTGGACCGTGTGCGGCCACCCCTCGATCAGGTGCCCACTAGTTTTTGACAAGGGCGGCGGGGATGCTGGCACGTTGCCTGCGGTGTGCAAGCCCACCAGACATCATGACGGCCTCCCCACTGCAATTGCGCATTGGTTTTCGCCAAGGGTAGTGGGGGGCGACATGCTTCCCGATGTGTGCTGTCACCTGCGCAGGCGCACCTGGTACACTCTGTGCGCGTCCCTGACGTGGCGAACCTTGCGCGGCTGGACCATGCAGCAGACCTGGCGCACTCGGAGCACGTGGCGCATCTGGCGCACGGGGCGTACCTGCCACGATTGGGTCCCCTCCTCGCCCCTGCTCGGTTTCCAGTAGCTGCCCATCCGAAGACGACCGCTGAACATGCTCAGGCTCGGGTGTTACTTCTGTGTAGGGAGAGCGGGTGGGAGTGAGCTAGATGAGCTAGACGGCTTGCGGGCGGGTGGGTGTCTTGACCCCTCTCCGTACCCTCTCCCCTGCAGAGGTTCCTGCCACACTGTGTAAAGACCCCTCCAAAAACCCTCCAATGCACTGCAAACGACCCTGAAATACCCTGCAACCGACCCTGCAACACCCCGTACTGACCCTGCAATCTCACCAGCCCTCCGGGCGTAGTTCGTTCAAGGATTTGATTTCCCGTGGGGGGCCCTCTCGGGACCCTCTTAAAGCTCCAAGAAAGCCCCAAGGAACTCCAAGCCAGCGCTATCCGCAGATCTCGCTAGACAGCGCTAACCTGGGACCCCCCCGAGCGACCACTCGGAGATGGCTTGGGAGGGTCTCTAAGAGCCCAGAGGGCTCCCATGGGGGCTCCTAGAGTTTCCCAACAGGGTGGCAGGCGGTCCCAAAGATGGCCCAAACAAAACGCATCGTGTGACGCAACGGTTGTGTCACACAGTGTAGCTCTGGAGCTCCCTCAGGGAGCACTCGTGGCCCCTCTTGGAAGCCTCCTGAGGCCCTCTTGGAAGCCTTTCGGGGCCTTTCCAAGCCGTCTTGGATGGGCCCGAAGAGATCATTTGGCCCCCCCCAAGAGGCCCCAAAAGGTCCCCAAGATGGCTTCAAAATGGCCACAAGATGGTCAGGCCAAAACGCACAGTGTGGCACACCGGTTGTGTCGCACTGTTGTGTGGCTTCGGAGCTCAATCTTGGAGCCCTCTTGAGCGGAATCCTCCTGAGCCCCTCTTGGAGGCTTCTCAGGGCCTTCTTAGAGCCACCTTCGGACCTTTCTGGGACGCCAGCCAAGAAGCCCCCGACGGATCCTACCAAGGAAACCATTTGTGGCCAACAGATCCCCAACAGGGTTCCAAGATTGCCCTAAGAGCGCCCAAACAAAACGCACAGTGTGAGACAACGGTTGCGTCAAGGTGTGAGGCTGTGGAGCTCCCTTTGGGAACACTTGGACCCTCTTGGGAGCCTCCTGGGTCCCTCTTGGGGCCCTCCTGGGGTCTTCCCAGCAAGCCGTCTTGGAAAAGGCCCTTAGACCCCCCAAGAGAGGGCTCTAAAATGGCCCAACAGGGCCCAAACAAAACGAGTAATCCCACTGGGTCCCTCGTCTTTGTTCCCCACATGCTGAGTGGGGTTATTGTTCTCCTGGATCCCCCTTTCATTCTCCTTCTCCTCCTTTCCCTGCTACTATACTGCTACTCCTACTCCCACTCCTACTCCTACTCGAACTCCTACTCCTACTCCTACTCCTACCCATACTCCTACTCCTAATCTTAGTCGGGTTGTCCGGGGTTCTTGTTCCACTTAAAGAGGGTGTAAAGGGTGTAATGGTTTGGGTTCGGGTTCGGGAACGCGCTCAGAAAGAAAAACACGTATAAACAAAACATACATCATATATTCACAACGACACTGAGGCGAATTGCTCCCCATTAGGATTCCACTAGAAGTGGTGCGTTTCCCAGCCGCCTGAGCATTCCTTCAGATCCCGAATTGCTACCCGATTGGATCCCGCTAGACTTGGACCACGCCGCGCCCAACGAGGAGCCGACACCTATGGGGCCACGAACCGTGCGAAGGGTGTGCCGAAATCAATCGCAGGGACGCTTGTAAATAAACACTGCCATTGGGTTTTCGGTGGAGCTCCCTATGGGGCCACGAGCCGTGTGTGCCGAAATTAATCGCGGGGACGCATTTTAACCCTGCCACTACGGCGTGTGGTGGAGCTCCGTATGGCACCACGAGCCGTGTGAGGGGTATGCTGACATGAATCGCGGGGACGCATGTAAACCTGCCATTGGGGCCTGTGGTGGGACTCCCTATGGCGCCACGAACCGTGTGAGGGGCGTGCCGACATGAATCGTGGGTCACCTGCCATTGGGGCCTTCGGCGAAGCGTTCTATGTGGCAGCGAACTTTGTGACGGGCGTGCCGAAATTAGCGGCGGGGGCGCATGTAAACCTTGCCACTGGAGCCTTCGGTGGAGCTCCCTGTGGGGCCACGAACCGTGTGACGGGTGTGCCGGAATCCACAAGAATCCTGAGGGAACTTGGAGACCCACGAAGAAGTTCGGGGAACCCTTCAGAATCTAGAGGACTCTGAAGGATCCCAGATGACACCAGACGAACCCGAAGGAACGCAAAGGAATCCAGAGGCATCTTGAAGAATACAAAGGCATCTCCAGCAACCAACAGGACACCCGGGAATCTGGGGCCGTGGGCCCCGAGCCCTGAGCCCTGCTTCTTGGGCCCTGGCCCCTGGACCCTGAGCCCTCAGCCCTGTGCCCTCAGGCCTGAGCCTTGAGCCCTGTGCCCCGTGCTCTGTGCCGTGCGCCCCGAGCCTTCAGCCGTGAGCCGTGATCCCTGAGCCCTGGGCCCTGGGCCCTGTGCCCTGTGCCCTGCGCCCTGAGCCCTGAGACCTATGCCCTGGGCCCTGTGCCTCGTGCCCTGTGCCATGCGCCCTGAGCCCTGACCCCAGACTTGAGCCCTGGGCGGCGGGTCGCAATCCGCATGAATCCAGAATCCGCATGAATCCAGAACCCCTGCGGAATCCCGTGGAAGCCGCATGAATACAGAGTCCTGAGGCACCCTCAGTAGCCTCAAGATTCCTGCAGAATCGGCAGGAATCATGCAGAATCCTAACAAGGTTCTCGCAGAATCCCGAGGAATCCGCAGGGCTCGAAGGCCTCAAAAAACGGAGCATGGACCCCGGATTGTACTACTACTACTACTACTACTACTACTACTACTACTACTACTACTACTACTACTATACTCGACTACTACTAATACTACTACTACTACTACTACTACTACTACTACTACTAACTACTACGTACTACGGCTACTACACTACTAACGACGGCGACTACTCGAGACGTAATGCGGGCCGGTGCGCGGGGGTACGCACGGGCGCGCGTACGACGCTAACGAGACCTACGACTAACGACTACGACTACTGATACCACCAACTTCACTACTACTACTACTACTACTTACTACTACTATTCTACTACTACACACTACGACTAACGACGAACTACTAACTACTACTCTTCTTCTTCCTAACTACTATTCCTACTACTATTTCTATACTACGGATTCTAC